TAAAAGGATCCTCTAATGTGAAGATTATTTTCCTGGAGGTGATTTAGAAAATACAGGCCATAATTCTGGTTCTTAAGAGGAAAAAAAAATAATCTTTTATTACATTTGGATGGGATTTTATTTTTTAGGAATCACTGCTTGGCTGTGAGTAGTTGTTGCTTGCTGAATGTTATTCACACTTCCTCCCTCATAGCAAGCTCATGTGTAACACTCTTAACTTGTGGGATGGGTTGGAACACTTCATTCTAATCCAAGGGCCATAGGTCATTTTCAACCACAAATTCTTCCTCCCTAGGGAAGTGTCAAGGGATGTGGTCTTTCCCATCTCGTTTTCCTACAACCTCCTTTAGCCTAAAATAAAGTTTATGTCACTAATGACCAGGCCTAAAATGTTATAATGCCTTATCTGGCAATTAATGTCAAGAAATCTTTTCCAGAACAGCACCTTAGGAATTTCAATTGTCTAGTTACAATAAGGCATAATGAAAGAATAAATATTTTAAAGGGCTGACAGGAAGAAATTTTCTCCTCAAGATTATTTTGATAGTCTGGAGCAGGAGTTGACAAACGATTTTCTGTAAAGGGCCAGACAGCAAATATTTTAGGTTATGTGGGCCCCATGGTCTCTCTGAACTACTCAACTCTGCTGTTGCAGCATGAAACCAGCCAAAGAGTAGCACATAAATGAATGGATTGGGCTATGTGTTTCAATAAAGCTTTATTTATAAAAACAGCAAGCCAAATTTGACCCATGAGGTGTATCTGCAACCCCTTAATCTAGAACTTGTAATGATTCAAGAGAGTTTGAAACAAAACAATTTAATTTTAATAAAACATATTATGGCTGTTAAATATAAACCACTACATTTGGGGATACCTAGCTGATTCTCAGATAAATTGAGCGTATTTTAAAATCTTTTTAGGTTTTCCTATTTACCCTTCCCTCCTTATTATACAAATTATAATGGAAATTTCTAAATTCATTACAAAATGAGACAATTTCTATCAACTAATGAAAAGATTATGAGAACTGAGACTGCAAAACTTTGGCTTTTCAGTTTCATACTAAATTTGTGAACTCAATATAATAATTTTATTTTCTGGATTTAACAAGATAGATCTTACAGAGGATTTTTTAATACTATCATTTAGAATATCTATAAGAAAGGCACTTATAAGATAGTCACTGAAACAGATCCATTATTAATTTGAATAATTTTTCTGGTTGATCATTTCAAAAGCTCTCTTTGTTTGGATTTGATTACACTTAACCTTTGATTATTATTAGGACTTGGAGTAACAGTATAAGTACCATGTACCAACTTAGTAAATAATTTAGGATGCAATTTCAGTGTAAATTATGATCCACATAATTAGTACATAGGTAGTACAGGTATAAGTAACCCCTTTGTCCTAAGATGTTTAGACCAGATGAATATGAGTATTTACAAATTTCAGGGACATCCCTATTTATTTGATACAAAAAAACCCTGGTAAATGGCATTTAAAAGTAAAACATTTTCTCAGTATAATTCTAATTTTAATCCTAGTATAATTCTAATTCTACTTCTAGTATAATTGTAATACTCAAAATGATTGGATCACTGATTAAAAACTTGTTGATTGTAGATACCCAGAAGCAGCAATGTTATCCTCTGTGGTGATTTGTAATTCTACTGCATTTAATATTGTAGCATAAATTATAAGTTATTTGAAAAGTTAAGCATTTCAGATTTTTCATTCTGTTTCTCTGTCTTTTAAAAGTAAAAGACTGAAGGAAAAAGATGTAGAGAAAAGAGTCTTCATTTCAGTCTTTTAGTGAATTTGGTAAGGGTAAAATGACATCAAAGCAAAGATTGGTTAGAACAAAAGACATATAAAGACAGAAACTAACACAACATTAGACTTCTTCTTACAAAGATTTTGGAAAACTTCAAGAGGGGATGATTACTTCACAGACTGGAATGTAAGCCCAGTTGGAACCAAGGTCTACAGGGCTTTTGAGGTGTCTAATGTTGAAAATCTCAAGTTGACTCTCTAGTTAAAAAAAAGCTGGAGAGGAGAAAGGAAAATTTTTGTTCTGGAAAAGTGTTCTTGTCTGATGCAAACAGAAATCCATCTTACAAAGGAAGAAGTAGAGATGAGTTGCCCTAATTTAGTCTTTTGGAAGCAGAAAAAAGATTATGAATTTGCTAAAAAAAACCCTTTTGTTTCTTCTAAATATTACTTTATAAGTTATGAGATGTCTTTTCTGTGTGTGTGTGAAAAATTTCCAAGACCCCAAAATTCATAAAAATTAACTTGAAACACTGAAATCCATTTTGGAAAAGAATCAGAGTGTAGAGAATCTTAATTTTTAAAAAGTTATATAAAAAAGAGATCTAGCAGTTGGTTGGTGCTTTCATTTCAAATATTTTATCCACTTTCCTTTTTTATAGCTTTTCTGTTTGGAGAGATGGAAACATTCAAATATTAAAAGTATTCCACAATATGTATTATTTAAAAAACTCTCAAATCCCAAAGTGGTGGTAATAAACTTCCTATTAATATAGTGATTAAATCAGTTTTAATCTTCTGTGCATCTAGTAACAAGAATGGAATAAACTATTAGAATCATGTTGTAAACCTCAGAGGAAATAGAATGCCAAACGTTAATCTGAAAAGCACACTTTTAATTAGCAAAAAATAATGCTACTAGGCCTTTCTGTTTTTCTTCAATAATGTACATATATATTGAGATCACACTCTAGCTGTTCTATTTTATTACATGTATTAACTCAGAGCTGTTCTGGAAGGCAGGTATTAAATTTATAGTTCTTAACATATAAAGGAACAAGCATAGAGAAGTGGAACTCTGGTGCACATAGAATGTAATATTGTCATGATTTTGTTGTTATTTAATGAACATTTCTAAACGTGATAACTAGTTTATGTAACATAAACAGATACTAATCCTTTAATATGATTGCAAGAACACAGATTAAATGGCAGAGTTCATTGTCAGTTCTCTTCAAGGGCTAATTTACCTCACACAGGGACCAGGTAACTCCTGTAAAGGCATTTCCTGCTCTCATTTTAAATGTTTCTTACAGCAGCCACAAGACTTCTTTTGAGAGGAAAGTAATACACGATTTTAAAGATTTTTTTAAGAAAAAATTTCCATTTTGATCAAAGAAATATTCATCTAAGATACTCTTATGAATGGGTTTGTTATGTTATATAATTTCTTGTCCAAATTTAGTGCTCAAGTAAGAATTGGCCATATATTATTAAGAAAAGATGGTTAAAAAAGGATACATCCATAGGAGTTTGGGATTAACATATACACACTACTATATATAAAATAGATAACCAAAAGGACCTAGTGTAGCACAAGGAACTATACTCAATATTTTGTTATAACCTATAAGGGAAAAGAATCTGAAAAAGTATTTATATATATATATATATATAAAAATACATGTATAACTGAGTCACTTTGCTTGTACACCTGAAACAAACACAACATTGTAAATCAACTATACTTCCGTTTAAAAAAAAAACAAAAGGATACATCCACAAGACTCCTTGAATTTATTTCAAGTCTGTGCTCTTTCACTATCACAATTCCTGTGTGTATGTGGAAAGCATCTGTAATTCCTTTCTTGTATGACTGCTTCTGAACTAGTTTATTTAACATAAACTCCTTGGGGATACATATAGAAATAGGAGTTTTCTGGGAATATATCACTTCCTGAAAAGTCAGTTGACTATATCTGGCTCAGAATTTTCTCTTCAGAAGGTTACGCACCCATCGGGAATTTGTTTGGGTGAAACTGCTTTTAAAAACACCTTGAGATAACATGCCCAAAGATCTAATCCCATATGAAATGCTTCTGTGAGTGGTTAAGTTATCTGAAAAGCCTACTTAGCAATTTTTTACTCTGCTGACAAACTCTGCTTTGTTGAAACCTAATGGTAGTTACTGAGGGGTAAGAATTTCCTTTGTATCATACCAAACTTGGCTTCAAATTAAGGGTATGGAACTAAAGTGGTATCATGAGTTTGTATGACACTCCTAGTCTTCTACTTAACTGTCAACTGAAGAATAATCTTTTGTCATTTTGACCAACAATTAATTGTGTCAACTATCCTCATACACACTATGTTTTATTTATAATTTTATTATGCTATATTATATAATACTATATATTATATAATATAGTCTTTAAATATGATACTTTGTAATATATAACATGTTATACTAAACATATAAATGAGACATAAAATAGTGTGTGAGAAAATTCACCATATAATGTTATATAATATAATGTAATATAATATGCTTATTACAGAGATTACTAAGTCATCCTAAGTGTTTCTCATCTTGGATACTACTTAAGAAGAATAAAGATTTGTTGAAAAATCTACAAATTAAGCTAATAAGTCCATTATTTCCGGCTACTGCTCAGACTCACATATTAATAAAACCACATTGTACTGAAATGATGTTTATTTTGTAAAGCTCCAATATGCATTCTGAATTGTGACAAGCACATTCTGAATTTTGTTTTTGAAATGCAACTATGGCAGAAGAGCCTTAATTTGATAACCGTAATAAAATCTATTAGAACCACAGTGGTGTTAACCCAGTCCGAAGGCCTAACGAGTGCATACAAATTTTGACAAATATTATAAGAAATAACAAACTTATGGCCAAAAAACGAAAAGTCTATAACTGTTTACTTTCTTCGCAAGTGTAGAGTTAAATTGAAAATGCTATAGGTCATTTCTAGGAATCCAGCAAGAAATTATTCAGTGTGCTTTTTTTGTTGACAGATGGAATTTATGTTTATAGACATTAACTATTAGAATATATATCAGAAAAATAATCTTAGATGAAGATTCCTAAATTAGATGGCAAAGGACATTCTAAATATTTTAAAATTTCATGTCATTGTACCAAAGCCAATGCTTCAGTTTGTGGAAGCACAAGTTAAAACCCTTCAGGGGATACTTACCCTTTTCTGTTCCTTTACATACTCTATCAATTCATCTCTTGTTCTCTTCACTGCCTCTTCCACAGCCTTTTCACTTCGCTTTTGCTCTTCTATTATTGCTGCCTTAACAGTTTCCTGTTTGTGGGAGGATGAAAAAAGTCAGGGAGGTATGTGCTATGACATGTTTGTGCCCATTTTATATAAACTAAAAACCCTCTTCAGTGGGTTGAGCTCACTCTGTTCAAAGCATACCTTTAAACAGGAATAAGAACTTAACGAAATCTTTTGGGTTCTGTTAGAGATTCCACAGAATTCACTTTTCTAAACTGAGTGAAAGGGAAAAGAAATGGAGTAAGCCATTTATTGCAGGGAGCGCCTGACAGACTCCAATGGCTTCCTTACCAACCTTTCATTTGATGTTTACATGATTGATTGCTTTCCTGTACTTTGCACTGTCCACATAAGACTTCCAACTTGTGTTTATTCTTCCAAGAACACCCTAATGCTCTAGGCTGTTTTATTCACATTTAATTTTCCCATCATACAATAATCAAGTGTGGTCTGGGTGGTAAGATTTACAGCTAGTTTAGTTCTTCTGCCAGGTTAAGATGTTGAGAGCTGGACACCATGAATGAGAGGTAAGAATTCTACCCTGTGTGCTAATATATGAAATGAGAAATCTAGGGAAAAAGTGATATTCCCCATTTTACTGAAATAGTAATCAAGAACCCTGAGAGAGTTCAAATTTTCAGATAAAGAGAAAGAAGGCTAAAATTCTGAAAAAGAAATGTAACACTTCTCAAAAACCAGGAAATATTTTCTGCTAAAATAGCATTTCATGGACTGGAAGAATGCAACAAACTTCTATAACTTCCACTTGTCTACAAAGGTACCATCTTTTTTTTGAACAGGCTATCAATTAGAAAATGCCTTGAAATTTCTCAGTTGTATTTCCCTTATTTTGTTATTCTTGAGGACCCTTCACTTTGTAGTGTATATATGTTTTTGTTTAGTTTTTCCTGATTAATTTCAGACACATATATATCAATATATACATATATATACATAAGACCTAGAAAATATGAAGTAGTAAGAATTTTCTATTATGAATATATTTACTATAGAAAATTAGTAAATACATAAAAATATGAACACAAAACACACACACACCCGTACAAAATTGGGTATGAAGAGGATGGGACTCAAACTGTACATACTATTTTCTAACTCTGGCATTTTTCATTTAAAATACATTTTGAATATTTTAAAGTAATTATATATTCTTTTATGATTTTATATTCCATTACTGGGATGTATAATAATTTATTTTACTAATATTTATTCATGGATGTTTTGGTTGTTTTTAATAAAGCAGTGACAAGCATCCATATATGTAACTTTGTGGTGCATATTAGATACTTCCTTAATTTCAATTCATGAGGTAGAATCATGTTGCCCAAGGGATATAATTTTTGAGCTCTCTTACAGCTTTTGACATTTTGTACAATTTTTTCCCATAAGCAGCCCATGAGAATAGCTGTTTTCTTGCAACCTTGATTACATTTAGTCTCACCAGTTTTTAAATCTTCGCTTATTTAAGGGATAATCATATCTAACTTTATTCTGCATTTTAAAAGATTATGTGATATGCAGCATTTTTCATAGAAATATTAGCAATATACATATTAGCTCTTATCATTTGCTTGATTGTGTCCTCTTCCTACTTTAATATTGGTAAACTCATAATTTTTTGGATTCCCTCCCTAATATATAAAGTTAAGTCACAAATCTCAAAAGCACTATAGTAAGACTTTGACAATTGTTACTCTTTATTTTCTATCACTAAGTACATTAAGCTTTAGTTCCACTGATGAAATAATAAAATACAAAGTTGTTTCCATGATTTTCTGAAAAGATTAAAGTCAAAAAACTATAGTATTTTTTATGTTTAATTTTTTATTGAAGCATAGTTGATTTACAATGTTTCAGGTGTATAGCCAAGTGATTCCGTTATATGTATACATATATCTATTCTTTTTCAGATTCTTTTCCATTATGGGTTATTACAAGATATTGAATATAGTTCCCTGTTCTATACAGTAGGTCCTTATTGTTTATCTATTTTATATATAGTAGTGTGTATTTGTTAATCCCAAATTCCAAATTTATGCCTCCTCCCTGTCCCCTCTGGTAACCGTAAGTTTTCTATGTCTGTGAGTCTATTTCTGTTTTGTAAATAAGTTCATTTGTATCATTTTTTTTAGATTCCACATATAAGCAATATCATATGGTATTTGTCTTTCTCTATTTGGCTTCATTTAATATGATAATCTCTAGGTCCATCCGTGTTACTGCAAATGGCATTATTTCATTTTTTTATGGCTGAGTAATATTCCACATATGCACCACATCTTCTTTATCCATTCATCTGTTAATGGACATTTAGGTGGCTTCCATGTCTTGGATATTGTAAACAGTGCTCCTATGAACACTGGGGTGCATGTATCTTTTCAAATTAGAGCTTTCTCTGGATATATGCCCAGGAGTGGGATTTCTGGATCATGTGGTAACTCTTTTTAGTTTTGTAAGGAACCCTGCATACTGTTTTCCACAGTGGCTGCACCAATTTACATTGCCACCAACAGTGTAGGAGGGTTCCCTTTTCTCCACACCCTCTCCAGCATTTATTATTTGTAGACTTTGATGATGGCCATTCTGACTGGTGTGAGGTGATACGTCATTATGAAAAACTGTAGTAATTTTTGAAAAAAAAATGAGGACAAAAAAAGATTATTTAAAATAAAAGCATCTACTATTATAATTTCTATTGGTTTCATACTTACTAATTTGGAATTCGAAAATTTTCAGATTTTATAAAGGCAAAAAGTAGTGCATATATTACTAAGCCCCCTGAAATAAAACACATTAATAGTTCTTCAGTGAAGGGTATGAATATTCACACTATGTGGGTAAATTAAAAGTATAAGTTTCACATTAGTTCAGGACAGGTTTTGCCAACAGCCAAGTTACAGAAATCCTTGGTTTTCAAGGGTTTTATAATTTTAAAACTACTGTAGACCTGGATTATTTGAATATAAAAGATAAATCCATATCATACTGAATATCAACCAGAATTTCTATCTAGTAAGGGTCATATAAGTAAATTTGACTAGATCTGTTTGGTTGAAGGCAAAAGGATCAATTTAAATAAAAGGGATATATCCAGAAAAAACATGAAGAGTTAGCTACTATGTTCTTCAGTTAACATTTTTTTTAGGGGGGAAGGGGCTGCGAGTTTACACTGTCTGCTCAGTCCACATTTTTGAGGACCCTCCTTTCCTAATTTTTGAGTTGAAGAAGAACATTTACAAAGAAAGTTTCCTTGATTCTCTCCTCCCCATTTGGGAGTTAGGTGACAGTCAAGGTTGTGAAATCCATATACACACTGTATATTTAAAATAGATAACTAATGAGTACCTACTGTATAGCACAGGGAACTCTGTTCAATATCCTGTAATAACCTAAGTGGGAAAATAACTTGAAAAAGAATAGATACATGTATATGTATAACTGAATCACTTTGCTGTATACCTGAAACTAACACAACATTGTTAATCAACTATACTCCAATATAAAATAAAAATGAAAAAAAAAGAATAAATACTACTTGTCAATAAATATCTTTGAATATCATACAAAAGTAAAGTTTAAGGGGCTTCCCTGGTGGCGCAGTGGTTGGGAGTCCGCCTGCCGATGCTGGGGACACAGGTTCGTGCCCCCATCTGGGAAGATCCTACATGCCGCAGAGCGGCTGGGCCCGTGAGCCATGGCCGCTGAGCCTGCGCGTCCGGAGCCTGTGTTCCGCAACGTAAGAGGCCACAACAGTGAGAGGCCCGCATACCGCAAAAAAGTAGTTTAAGCCTTCCATTTTCTAACCAGCCCAAATTCTCAATTACTTAGAAATGATTAATGAATTTTGTGTGCATATTCAAGTGTGTGTAAATATCTGCCTGCATGTTTTGTTGAATTCCATGAATGAACTAAATTGTCCCTATGAGTCATGAGGATTAGTCTAAAATAAAATATACCTCACAAGAGATGAAGACTTGACACCAATGAGTATATTCAAACAAGACAATTCTGAAAGAACATTTTCCGGAATATTTTAGTAATGGCCAAACCCCTGGGATGTAATATATTCTCTAGGGCAGGGTTTCTCAACCTTGGTACTACTGACAATTCCTTGCTGGGGGTGGAGGCGGGAGTCCTGTTATAAGCAGCATACTTGGCATCTGCTCACTGGATCCCCTCCAGGTGAGAAGCACTGCTCTAAAATAAACAGTTTGGAGGGAAAACTATCCATTTGCATATGTGTTATGGTTTGTTAAAATATATGTTAACACTTCTCATCATAAATATTTTTTTGTCTAAAAATAAAAAATGTGCAAGAAATCACATCCAAACGATTACATAACTAGTTTTTAAGTGTGGAAGAAAGAGTTCTACATACTTATTTTTAAAAAATGAATCACTGTTACAATTAAATATGTCATGATGAATGTCATTTAGGGCTAAAAGCTTATATAACATTTTGTATAAGATTTAAAAATTTCTCCTCATTGCTTAAAAGTATAGTTATGCTTTAGTATCTATTAAATCCACCATATATTTCAGTAAAAATGGGATCGTGACTTAATAAACGGTCTGAGGTTGTTCTTTATCAGTGCGATTTAGTTAAGGATTGTAAACACAGTTAAATTATTTATGGGAAACAAATCACAGCAATCAATTTTTTTTTTTTTTTTTTTTTGGCATGCGGGCCTCTCACTGCTGTGGCCTCTCCCGCTGCAGAGCACAGGCTCCGGATGCGCAGGCCCAGCGGCCATGGCTCACGGGCCCAGCCGCTTCGCGGCACGTGGGATCCTCCCGGACCGGGGCACGAACCCGCGTCCCCTGCATCGGCAGGCGGACTCTCAACCCCTGCGCCACCAGGGAAGCCCAATCAATTTAATTTTGATCTGTGGGCAGTAAAACACAGTATCAAAGATTTTTCTAGGGCAATAGTGCACTTAATTTTTGTTTCTATACATGACGTATGCATATTATCTAATTATGTATTATTTTAAAAGTTGCAC